CTTGTGACTTCACTGGACATACCTTTTCTTTCACCGAATATAGTCTGCTTTCCTCACCTGCAGCTTCTTCAGATGGGTTACCTTCCTCTACTGCCTTGACCACAGTACCACTACCTCTTCTTCCTGCATTCCCTGGTCATCTCCTCTCCCAGGCCTTGCTGTTCCTGTTCAGATATTCCCTACACACTCTCTGCAAGTGTCCCTCCTTGTTACAAAAGTTGCATATATAGGCACTAAACTTGCACTTGCTACTTATGTGATTGTATCCACAGTGTTTACATCTGGTCTGGCCCTGTACGACCATAATTTCCTGAGTAGAAGTCTTACTTCCAAAAGCCCTTTCCAGGTTCAATATCTTCTCGAGCACTGTCCATGATGTCATCAATTGTATATCCAAGTTTTCTGCCATCAGGTTAGGGAAATAATTCTCCTTTTCCACTGCCATGAACAACTGGTCCCTAACCCTGCCGTCCAACTGTGCTCCGAAGTTGCAGTGGTTAGCCAAAGCCTTCAATTCCGCGTATAAATCCTGTACGGATTCCTGCTGCTTTTTCGTCCTCTTCTGGAAATCCATCAAACTCCTGTGATATGACGGTTTCACCACATACTGACGTTTAAGCAGGGCAATCAGGTCTACATAGGTCTTCGTGTGGGGTAGCTCAGGTGCACACAAATTTCCGAGAACACTATACGCTTCAGAACCCAGTGAAACTAAGAGTACCGCTTTCTTGTTGGCGTCCTCCTTAATCTCCCGGTACTGAAAGTTTGCTTCCAGCAGGCTGAGCCACAGGTCCAACAAGATCTTGGCAGTGTTTAACGGCTCCATTGACATGAGCGGCGTAGCCATGACCACGGTGGTAGCACACTCGACTGTTGTATGCGAAGCGTCCACTCGTCCACACAACATACCCTGCTCTCACTTGATCCTCACACCACGTCTCGTACCCAGGCTCTCTGCCGGATATGTTTAATCCTCGTCGCCACTGTTATGGTTGAAGGCTGAAGAGAAACAATCTTCGTCCACATGGTTTTATTCTCAACCAATAACAACAACAACAAAACAATTATCAGGTACACGAAATATTAACAAGATCATAAACAAAAGAGCATCTGCTCCAAACATGCTACCTCCAACATCTGTAGTACTCAATCCCAACAGTTAGCTTGTTTGTATGCTTTTCCTCTTGCCTTTGTTTGATTCATACGAGATGATAATATTACCCTGCATACTGATAACGAGAGATTCAAATAAACTTAAATGGGAACTGATAATGGAGTAAGGATCGAGAAGACGACACTTGAGCACACTGGGAAAAGAAGTCACCTGTATGCTCAGTGGTGGGTGTAAATTCACGGCACCAGGTATATGCTGAGCTGAAGTTCCCGCTTGTATGTTGTGACTTCTTTCCCCTAGAATTACAGATGCAGCCGAATAATTTTCTACAATGGTTGCTAACAAGATGGGTGTCTGTGGAGGTAGCAGCATGGGTAGTGTCTGCTTGTTAAATTCTTGCTAGTTTAATTTATTTTATTTAATTACCACCATCAGTGTGGTACCCAAGAAACAAAATGTAGTGATACTCAGTAGGAAGTGATTGCTCAACTACCACCACCATCAGAGCAGTCCCTGCATAAGGCCCAACCTCACTCAAAGAATCACCAACCCCAGACTCCTGAAACTCTTAAGACATTTCAGAGCCCAGAGCAAGGGAAGCGGTACCTGGACTCACTGAACAATGCCTGTCAGACCTAGGGAAGGAGACAGATTGGCAGCCTCCTGATGAGCTGAGTCCTGAGAGGAAGGCTCAACTAAACCCGAGACCTAACATCAACACGCGTCCCGGGCCTCAGGGTGGAATGTATCCCCCCACCCAGCAGGCAGCATGGCAGAGGCAGTAACAATAGCCATCAGAATACAGCAAGACTTTAAACCCTCAATCAGTGAGGACAGAATCTGGGGGCCAGTCCACATATAAAAACTGAAAAGGTCTTACTAGATTCCAAAGGAATTGGGGCAGCTTGCTGAATATCACAGAAAAGAAAGACAACTTAGGGGCATAAGAGGCATTCCATAAAACGAATACGCGAGCACCCTGAGTTACTTTGATAAATGAAAATCCCGACTAACCCTATCCACAAAGACTCAGAGAAGTCAAAGACCAATGCACTGCTAAGGGTGAGGCTCCTTCCTCAGGAAGACAGCCTCTCAGACAGCCACCCAAATCTACTAGAGAAGAGAATCCTGGCTGAGCAGAGGCAACATAAGTGAACATCTAGAAATGGTCACTCTAGGCACAAGCAGCTTGAGGAGAACAGTTAGTCGAACAACCCGTCCTCAGACCAAGTCCATTCCATCCAGCGGTCGATCCCAAAGACGCATTCATAAATTTTACATGATTCAAAACAGGAATTTTCTCAAATATAAATTAATATTATTATATATTAGCATACTGTGCATATTTAGGCATTGGTTAGGTTACATGAGGTGTTTAGGTTCTGTTGGTGATTATTTGTACAGTGGCACCTCGATTAACGAGCGGCTCTATCTACGAGCATTTCAAGTAATGAGCAAGCCACTCGCAGCAAATTTGTCTCTATTGACGAGCTTCACCTCTATTAACGAGCAAAATCACATGGTGCTTCCTAACGTCTCGCGGGTTCTCGCAAATTCTCGGACGCCTCCGATGCCAGTGTTGTTGTATCGTGCACGACAAGCATGCCTCTGCATTTATTTGTGCTTTTCTTTGTTTTTTGTGGTTTTGTGACTACAATTTATAACACACGATGTCGCCAAAGAAGCTGCTTGCTAAAGATAGTGTTGTCAAGATGAAAAAAAGACACAATTACTGTGGATTTGAAGAAGGAAATTATAGCAAAGCATGAGCGTGGTGTCTGTGTGACTGATCTCACAAGGGAGAATGGCAGAGCCTCATCAACAATTTGCACCATTAGTAAGGGGATGAGGAGGTAAGGGAGGATGCTGCCTCTTCCAGTGAGATCAGGGAAGTGTTGGGAATGTTTGAAAAGGTGACCGCATTCTTGGAAAAACTGCCCTGATAAAGCAGTAACAACCCGGTGTGTGAACATGTTTAATGACAATTTGCTGTCTCGGTTTAGGAACATCCTAAAACAAAGACAAAAGCAATTGTCAATAGATACGTTCTTTGCAAAGGTAGAGAAAAGAAGAGCCAGTGATAGTGAGCCACAACCTGGTTCCAGTGGGGTGAAATTCCCAAGAAGAGAGAGCCCAGCTGATTCAGAGGTGGATTCTCCTTCCACACCATAACCCCTCTCCTCCTTCCCACCTCCCCATCGTCTCCCTCAAGACAGCAATGACTCTTCATAAGGTAAAGTAAACATGAAAACAGTACAACAAAACATTTATAACTACATGTGCAGTATTATATTTACATTATAAAATGTCATACAAGTATGGATGTTTTTGGGAGTGAAACAGATTAGATTTATTTCCTTTATTTTAAATGGGGAAATTTATTTCTTAAGACGAGTTTTCCACATAACGAGCTCGGTGCCAGAACGGATTAAACTCGTTAATCGAAGTGCCACTGTATTTGTAGTATGCGGGTGAAGCATTTACAACGTTGTGGTTCGAAAAAAAGTCATCAATGAAACACTTGTTCCAGAAGTGTTAGAATGTCATCAGTTGTGAGTCGTGTGTAAACAGTTGTTTATTCATTAACATGGGGGGGCCTCGTAGCCTGGTGGATAGCGCGCAGGACTCGTAATTCTGTGGCGCGGGTTCGATTCCCGCACGAGGCAGAAACAAATGGGCAAAGTTTCTTTCACCCTGAATGCCCCTGTTACCTAGCAGTAAATAGGTACCTGGGAGTTAGTCAGCTGTCACGGGCTGCTTCCTGGGGGTGGAGGCCTGGTCGAGGACCGGGCCGCGGGGACACTAAAAAAGCCCCGAAATCATCTCAAGATATGGGGTTTGGCGAGTGCATAAAATGGACTTTGGCCTTTGTTTATGAGGACAGGCTGAATCGAAGTCCACACAAGAATTGAGGCATAAATATGCCATATGAAGCAAATACTAAAATAAAGAGTAGACAAACAAATGGCCCCATCAAGATAAAGAACTTTTACCTAAATAACCAGGACTGGAAGAACATTTAGCACACAGGAATGAGGAGCGTAATCACAATGTCTTGATGCATCCCGCCAGACAAAATGAAATGATTGTAAAAACTAAGGGATTGAAGAGATGGGTGTGCAGTCACCTGGTAATGTGCAGATGGAACTAACAAATAAACTGTTTGGTTTATTCAGTTTGGTGTCTAGTTTCCAATATTCTGTTTACCTTGCTGATTGCTGTATTCACCTAGTTGAGTTTGTGGGGGTTGAGCTCTATCTCTTTTGGCCCGCCTCTCAACTGTTAACCAATCAACTTTTTTTTTTCCACACCCCTTCCTCCCCAGGAAGTAGCCCTTAACAGCTGTCTTAACTCCCAGGTACCTATTTACTGCTAGGTGAACAGGGGCATCAAGGTGAAAGAAACTCTGCCCATTTGTTTTCCCCTGCGCTGGGGATCGAACCCAGACCCTCAGGACTATGAATCCCAAGTGCTGTCCACTTAGCCACCATGGCCCCATGGGTATTTCTTGGTTAGTGATCTAGTATCCTCTGTTACTTGTGCCAGGTTTTCTCAGGTCCCTAGAAGGATTACAATGCCTCATAAAGGCCTGGTAAGGTTTTGAAATGAGTAGTGCTATTCAGTTATGTACCAACAGTCACTTAGCAGCTCTTCCAGAAACACACACAAGAACCTTACACCAAAAATTGGAACAAACACAAGACAGAATCCAAAGCATAACCAATACTTATCTGAGAAAGTGGTAAGGACACGATGAGCTCATGGCTTATTTGGTATCACTGAGTGGACCCTGAGCTTCCAGGGCTTCCACCTGGCAGATGGGGCGGTAACACTAAAAAAAAATAGTGTCACATCAAAAGGATTAAATATGCAAGAATTTACTTACCCATACAAAGGTCCATCATTCCCAATAGCTGAAACCATAATGACTCGGTTGGCTGTCAACTCCCACACTTTATCAACGAAGGGATGATCCATAAAATCTGGCCCTCCAATGCTTAGATTCAGCACATCCACCTTTTTCAAGATAGCATAGTTGAAGGCATCCAGGAACCAAGATGTGTATGAAACCTAAAAGACAAACATCATAAATTTTTTAAATAAATTAAAATTGTTTTACCAATAATAATAATATACTGTATTACAAATGTTTACACATATTTGTCAAAACATTATACAACAAATTATGTATTTTTACTACACTGTATTATTTATCTATTCAATATTATTCAACATCAACCACAAATAACACATTTCATTATATTTCAGTAAGATCGTAATGACCCTGAAGATCACCACTGCAAACTCTCTCTGAGTAATTGGTTATCCAATCCAGGTGTATATGACCTTAGAACATATGTAAAATATATACTGAACTCATGACCCCTTGCTTCACCTGATTATTAGTAAAGACACGATAGATGTGCAACTCGGCATCAGGGGCAAACCCAAGACACGTTTTTCCACTTGATGCTATTACACCTGCCACGAATGTGCCATGACCCAGCCCATCATCTAAAGTTTTTTCATTGGTCCAGTTAGTGCGTTCCTTAATGCGCTTGAAGTGAGGGTGAGATTTTGAAAGTCCAGTGTCAAATACAGCTACTCTGACCCCAGCACCTGAAATGAACCAACGTTCTGAGCAGACTATTTTAAACAATGTTAGAGCACTACATTGTATTCCACCATTACAGTATGATATAGCTGAACATGAACCCATCCCAGCCTCCATCATCAGTATGCTCAAAGATAAATACTTGCAGCATGAGAAATTTGTAAAATTCAAAAAATGGTAAAATATTAAAAAGCCAGCATTGAATATAATGAAACGCCATTTTTTGGGCAAGCCCCGGAGGCTCCCTGGAGCTTATCGGGCTAATGTAATTTATATTAGACCGGGACATTAGCTATGGAGGTCAGACCTACCAGGGACCAGCACCAGAACCTGGCCCCTTCAGAGAGGTTTCAGGGAGCAATGGCCCTGGAAAACTCCCTTGTGATTGGGGTTTTCCTTATCTGCCATCTACCTCTCTGGCACCCAGAGAGGTAAGCATCTAACAAAACAAACCCCACATGGTAAGAAACTAAAACAAAAAAAACGAACAGAGAGGTAGAAACTCCCTACAATCCCAAGGAAACAAGCAAACATCACACTTTACTGCCGCGCTGCTCGTCCGCGCAGCCCTCCCCTCCCCGATAGGGGGAGGGTGGCCTGGACCTCACCGCGCCGGCTGCCTAGCACCAGCTCAGAAGCCAAGCTTCAACCAATGCGAAAAAAACGCTGACTGGTGGGAGGGAGGGTTGCCAGGGAGCCTCCGGGGCTCACCCAGAAAATGGCGTTTCATTACATTCAATGCTGATTTTCTGTGGGGAGCCCCTACGGCTCCCTGGAGCTACGTACCCAAAGAGAAGGAAAAAAGGGACTTACTCAGGAGGCGGACCCCACAAACTCCTCAACGCGAAGTCGAGACAATTGGCTGCATCCTGCGACCCAAAGCAACACAAGAACGCCCAGGAGTAGGGACGTTCACCAAATAACGCGCAGCCAAGACCATGTTCGATCTCCAAAATCCACGTGCCCGAATATGAGCCTATGACATGTTACCGAACATGACAGGAAAAGCTGCAAACTTCTGAACATCATGGGCACGAGGATAGACCGCAGGATGGCTAGACTTAATAACCCTGCGGACAACCTGGAAGACCCGAGCCCTGGAACAGGGAACGAGGGAAATCGGATCAACCCAAAGCACATCCCTAGCCACCCCAGCCGAGGCGAGCAGGTAACGGCGAAGAGCCGCAACCGGACACAACACATGATGCACCCCCTGGACGAACCAACCAAGCATCAATGACCCAAGGGCCCCTCCGGAAGGCAGCCGTTTCGTTCTTCGCCAGAAAAGACGGAGAAGAGTGCAAACGTACAAACCTACTCCCAGGACCAAAAGAGCAGAAACCCCTGCTCCGGAGGAGAGCATGAAGCTCCCCTACTCGACCTCCAGAGGCCAATGCCAACAAAAACAGGGCCTTGGAAAAATAATCTTGGACCAAAGGGGCCACCACAAACCGAGGAGAGGAAAGATAAGAGAGCACGCTGTCCAAGGACCAGGACGGCTCAGGTGGCGCATGAGCAAGCCGGAGGTGAAACATAGCACGAGAAAGCTTACAGAACAGGGCGGATGTGACGTCCACCCCGAACGCAAGCTGGAGTGGCTCCGCTTGGGACGGCAGCTAGTCTTGCAGATACTGCACCACAGCAGAATCCGCAAACAGCAAGGAGCAGAAGGGCGAAGACATCCTAAGAGCCAGGGCCCAGGCAGATTCCAGGGAGGAAGCAAGCACTGCCTGCCGACACACGAGCTGGGAGGCATGAAAAAGCGACACCGCATCCCGCAGGATCGGCGCAAAGAGCTTCAACAAGGCAGACAATGAGCGAGCCGCCAAGCCCAAGGCACCAGACCCAGGAACAACCCCAAGCACCTCCACATCTTCCTCAAGCCAGTGCGAAGACAGCTCTAGTTGGGAAAAAAACGCAAAGCCGAAGCCAAGAGGCCACAAGCGAGCAAGTCATCAGCAACCTGTGCATTCGAAAGGGAAGGAACCTGCACATGGAACTGCACAATGCCAACATCCCGAGGAATGGCAGGGGCAAACAAGCACTCATTGAGGTGCTCAAACTCGCCCCCTAGGAAAACCTGTACCACTGTCAATGCCTCACACCCCTCAAGTGTGTGGTAACGACAGAAGGAATGCCACGTCTCCAAACCAAAAACAGGACAGTCCACCAGCCAAGACGACTCCGGAACCTCATACCGGATCCAGTAGGGAAATGAAGACCCAAACCTGAACGAAGAAGGATCCATGATAGAGGCGTAATCCGGGTCGCACAGGAAGTAAGCCGCAAAGGCCTCTCGCACTACATTAGACTGGATGCGGGAAGCCGAAAACCTCCAGAAAGACAGGACCAAAGCACCTGAACCCGGGGAGGGGCAGACACCAAATCCAATTCATACACAGAGGGAGGGAAAAGAAAACCCCACTCCTTGTAACAGTAAGCCCCGTTCAGAGGGCAGAAAAACCCAGGCGGGATCCAATGGGACCTAAGGCCCCCAAGTCAGCCCCTCCCCAGCCCCGGGATCCTTCGCATTTGGACCCGGGGACGAGTCATCTCCCAAAGCCCCGGCCTCAAAAGAAAAGGCCAGTGCAACCGTAAAAGCCGGACGGAAGGAGGGCCTTCAGAAGGAAGGTTCAGAACCAGAGGTTTCAGCAGGGAGAGAGCAGACTCGAATGCCTCCATCTCCACACCGGAAGGGGCATCTTCCCGAGACTGTTCGAGTCTAAGATCGTCTAAACCCTGCCCCGACGCAGAAACCCTCAAACGTTTCGGAGCCGGAAGCATGGGGAAGGCCAGACCGTACCGCAGAAAGTGAAGGACGAGGGGGTGCGGACAAAACCAAGGCCGAAGTAACCATTACCCCCCAAGTCCGAGTCCCTATAAACAAAATGGGGCAGCCTTGGGGCATCCGGCGTAGCAACCAACGTAGCGTGTTGCAACAACCTAAACTTAACACGCAAGCTTGTGCTGCCTGTACCCGAAGTATGTCATCATTAGACTGGGTAAACTGAGTCACCAGCAAGTAACAAAACTTGCAGGACTCCGGGTCAAAAGTGTCACCGACCCAACAGGCAGCGTGACAAGAGGCAAAAACAATGAGTCACCCCGAGACAAGGGGACAGAGCAGCCCTCGAACTCATACAAAGCAAGGGGGGGGGGGGACTCAGGGGTCACATCCATCGGACACATGCGCCCCCTTGAGGTTTCCCAGGGTCCTGAGACGGAACTCACACTCAGGGAAGCCCAGGCAGGGTAATGCTAACCGTCGCCCAAATCTACCAAACGAGTTTCTAATAGCTGAACCCCTGGGATGGGTACACTCACAGGGACCTAGCAGGGGGTACCACCTGAAGAGAAAACAGTGCCCAGTACTTGTTCATGGGGGGAAGGGGGGCAACAACCAAGGCAGGCCCCCCCCCCCACCAGGCAGGGAAACAAACAGAAAAAGAAAACCCAGCAAGAGGACAGCGTACCCAGACGGAACAGAGTCGGCTGCTATGAGTGGTAAAAACAAGCTGGGCAGTACCCTGCAATGGCTTTAGGGGAGGGCAATAGTGGGGAGTACGGGGGGACGGGAGGGTTGCTGTAGCTGTGCAACATGCATGCGTTGCTGAGCCACAGCAATGCATGGCTGGGTACAACTAGTGTATATATATATGATGTTGGTTTAAAATTCAATGAGTTTGTGATTTGTGTATGTAGTATCTGAAATAGTAATGTCCCTGATTATTTCTTCAGTACAGTGGTACCTCGGGTTATGAATGTCCCTGTTTACAAACTTTTCGGATTACGAGCCCGATTTGTTCAGAAAATGTTAATCAGGACACGAACTTTGCATCGGGATATGAGTTTGTTGATACGCGTACTGCCGACCAAGCGCGTGATGGCACGGAGATCGCGCCTCAGCTTACCAGTGCCTCACGCCCAGTGACTATCCTGCCTGAATTCTTCACAAGAATTTACAATTTTTTGTCGGATTTTTGCCCATTTGAGCATAAAAGTTGTTATTATATATCTCACCATGGGTCCCAAGAAAGCCAGTGGTAACATTCAAGGCAAAAAATCCCATGTGAGAATTACCATAGAGGAAAAAAAAGAGATCATTCGTAAGCATGAAAATGGTACTCGTGTTGTTGAACTAGCTAGGCAGTATAACAAATCTTCAGGAGAGGAAGAAGAGGCAGTAGAGAATGTCTCTTCCTCATTAATTAAGAAAATGTGTGCAGTATGGGAAGGACTGCAAAGTTTTGCTGAAAAGAATCACCCAGAGAAAGCTGTAGTAGGTCATTGCATTAATCTTTTCAATGACAATGTGATGCCTCACTACAGACAAGTGTTGCAAAGAAGGGAAAAATAATCTTCAAGGGAAGGGGACTCCCCTTCTAAACAATAACACCTCTCCTTCTCCCCCTCCCCTCCTCACTATCTTCCATATGCCAACAGGAGTCATCAGCAAGGTTAAGTACTGTAATGCATATCGTTGACATGGGTTTGTTGTACTGCCTACAAAGTTCAACAACACGTGCACCATTTTCATGCTTCCAAATGATCTCTTGTTTTTCCTCTATTGTCATCCTCACATGCGATTTCTTGCCTTGAACCTTACCACTGGTTTTCTTGGGACCCATTGTGAGATATACAATAACAACTTTTATGCTCAAATGGCCAAATATCCAACAAAACACTGTAAATCCTTGTGAAGATTTCAGGCGGGATAGTCACTGGGCGCGAGGCACTGGTAAACTGAGGGGTGATCGCCGTACCACCACGCGCTAGGTCGGCCCGTACGTGTATCAACACACTCGTTACCCGATGCAATGCTCGTATCCGGATGCAAATTTTTTTACCAAATCCTGCTCATAACCCAAAAATCTCGTAACCAGGGACGCTCGTAACCCGGGGTTCCACTGTATAAAAATTGGCCTCTCCAAAATAAAAACATCATACATGCTGGTGATGTACATGACAATGAGACAATTGTCATGCACATAGTACAAGAATTGAG